GGGAGGTGTACAATATCACCAAGCTACTCAATAATGTGAAGATATCCAAAGGAAAATAATACTACAGTGCAAATCCACTTTTAGTAGTGGCTAACAGTAATAACTACAGCCTCACATGCTTTATGCAACAGTGACCCTGATTTAATACTAAATTTAAAATAACTATATTATTGTCCATGAAATGAACCAACATTTTACAGATCAATACAATGGGGAGTCAGAGGAAACAATCACATTAATTCAGAGATCTATGAGGACATTAGAAAGAACTCTGTAGGTCAGACTATGGAGGACTGTTTAGCTCTTTTCTCACATATTTCTCTATATCTAAAACCTATAAAAAGCTATTTTTCCTTAGTGAAATTGAGTTTCAGCAAAGCTTAAGATATCCTTGATCTAGCCTGTCACAGCAGAAATGTTTGAGCATGGTAACACAGCCTCTCAGACTGAAATTCCATGGCTGTTTGAGATGGAACTGGTTCACTTCTGACTCAATCAGCAACGTTACTCTTCTAAATGAAATTGTGTTGTAGCAGTATTTCCATCTAAGTTACATTTTTAAAGAGCAATATGAATTCTGTTGTACAATAAAATATCTAATACAAAGATTTAGCTTCTCAGGCATCTACAGAATATCTAAAGTGGACTATACATGGGTGCAGTTACTGCTTCTTAAAGTAACAGTCCACGTGCATTACATTTTTGTACATTATTATTCAAACGTTATTTATAATTTATTCTGGCTAATCTAAGATTTAAAGCAACAATTTTGAAACAGAATAGCTATCAAAAAGGAATTTTACATACTCCTTTAATGATTAGATAGGAAGCTAAAACACTAGCTTTCCATTGCTAAGTCTCAGGGGGTAGCCATGTTAGTCTGTATCTAAAAAAACAACAAGGAGTCTGTTAGTCTTTAAGGTGCCACCAGACTCCTTGTTGTTATTGCTAAGTAAATACTACAATAGCCATCCAGTTTTGTTCTATCCTTGGCTGCCCATGGCAACTAGGGGCCATGATCCACCTGATTGTAAATTAGTGCAGCCTCAGGGCAACTGTAACTGAAAATAAGGAAACACAAATATTGCTTAAAGGCAGGTTTGTTCCCCATCTCTGTGCCAAACACTGGAACAAAGTAATTGAGAATCAGGGTTTTTGCAGTACTATTTTAATTATATCCTGAATACATAAATGGATACAAATTGGGAACTCATGTGGGATTCAAAGCTCTCGTGGTACATTTTTGTTTTGGTCAGATGGTCTTTCTAGGGCACAGTCCAGAGATGTGTGAGATCTGGATTGTATTCCTATCTCTGCCACACTTTGTGACCCGAGGCAAGATTAATCTTTTTCTACCTCTCTTTCCCCATCGGTAATATGAGGATAAAAATATTCTCCTGCCTCACAAGTGTGAAGATATTCCACTATGTATTATGCATCAAAACTTGCACAGTAATTCTGCAAGATACTTTTTTTGTAAAATTATTCCAGAGATTCAGGGGGCTTAAATTTGGAATAAAGAATTTGAGCTTTTCTATCAGAGGAAGGGAGAATTATTCCAGTGTGACTTTGTGAAATGTATTCTTTATCATCGAATGTAGAGATGGAAAAGACTCATTTGCAGTGCTTGCGTCCTGCTGGAATGCTCTGGGATACTGTTCCACTTTTTTGGTGAGTGGGAATGGCACATTATGGCAGTTCAAGAAGTGATGGAACACAAGTACTGGAGTGAAGCACTCACCCACTGCTCATTTGGTCAACTTGTCCATCTCGTGGCCAACTCAGGAAAATTCCCTGCAGCATATTCTCAAATGCTTGATCCATTTCCAGTCTAGATGATTAATGCAATTGGACTTTCTCCACTTCCCTTGGAAGATAATGAAGGGTCTACAGCCTTTGTTTTAGGAAACTTTTCCTGATATTCTTTTAGTTGGATGATATCACTAGTAGGTGTATCTATTTTGAATACCTTTAAATAATTTGTTTTACCTTGTTTTTATACCCGTCAAACACTGTATTGGTAGACTGTGTCATCCTACTTAGTCACTGCAAGATGACATATATTTTAATCTTTCCTGATAAGTCATTCTTTCTTGTTTTGAATTTCTTCCATGTTGTTGAATTATTGTTTTAAAGCGTTATAAAAATATTTTTACAAGGAGTTTGGACAGACCGTCTTTCAAAGGTGTGAAATGATGAAAGGCAATTATATTTGTACCTAACCTGCATTCATCCATATTATTTTAATCCTGTGTCATGCATTAGAGTAATAAATTGATTCAATTTTTTGTTATCACTATCTTGCTTATCTTCAGCCATTGCCTAACTATACTATTGGAGAGAAATTGTTATGAAGGAAGTGATTTTCATATGCTGATTAATATTTTTCAGCTTGGGTTTGTACTAGTCAAAATTATGAACTGTGTTAAGCAAGAACATGTAGGGCAGGAGAAGGATAAATTGCTCTTTAAAAGCATTACAAATATGATACAGTACTTCTATGCCACATTTTAAATGTCTTTTAGAAAGCAGCCCTTCACTGGTATTCTTTGATGCACATGGGGGAGGGAAAACTTTTTATAAAAAGTCTCTATTTATAGACTTTTTTGTCTCTCTCCCACTCCCAAAAATACGCTCTTGCCTAACAATCTTCTTTACCATATTGCCACTGAGGGGAAAAAAGAGTAAAATAAATGGAGTGATGTAGGAGACAGCTGATTAGTCAGATATAACTCACTAATGAGGACACTTGAGAGACTGCAGTGAGTTCAAAAGACAACTGAGTTTATTGTGGAGGTAGCAGGATCACACAAATCTATAGCTGTAACTACAGTACAATTTTGGTACAGGTAATCAAAAGCAAATTTAAAGTGTATTATAGGTATCTACTCTATTTGCCTGGGAGGACAATGCCCTTTTTGACATTAATGTTGGTATTAATGAAGGAGAAAGCCCTTCTTAGTAAAAGATATATGGACTCCACAATTTTTAAAACTGATAAAAGGAATAAAAATGAAAGTAATGACTGTACACTGAAATAAAATTGAAAACAAAGAAAATAAACTAGTATGTTCTTGAATGTTTTCAACTTGCCAAAATTATGATACTGTTTAAAAGGCTCTCTCTCAGTCCCACATATATATTTATATGTTGATATCTCTCTATAAGGCTGAAAATTGTGTATTAGCTTAAGCTACTGTGTAGTCACTTTAAAGTACAGTGGGTCCGCAGTCCCCACAGGATTCTGTTAAGTCCTGACTATGGAGCTTGCAGCCATCATGTTAAGAGTCTCCTTCCTGCAGATGCTTTCACAGTTTCAAGAAGCTTCATGTTTTATTACTAAAAACATACTTGAACGTTTCCTGTATTCAAATATATCTTGATAACCAACAATACAATTTTAAATACTTAATAAAAATGACAAAACTGCTCACTCTCTCCTCAAACAGAGGAACTAAAAGATAATTTGAGGGCTTTCGTAATTCCTTCAGGAGCCTGAACCACCTTGCACTTAGTTCCTACAGTACTGTGTCACTTTTAAAACGATTGCTCCTGTTAGCATTTTGAAATTATATCCCCCTCAAACAAAATCTATGAGTACATTAAAGTACAGCCAGAGTTTAATTAATCTTTTTTTTAAAAGGAGAATATTAAGGTGAATAAAAGACCAATCCTGGTCCTTAAAATACACATATTTTGATATTATTAGGTCCCAACTAAACGGTCTCCTCTTTTTCTTGTTCCCAGAGTTCTGCTTGACTTAGTTCGTCCTGCAGTATTCCAGAAGTGAATCTACTCCACGGTGGCTCTCTGTTCACCCAGAGGATCCCACCCATCTTTCCCTCCTGATGCTGAATGAATCTTCTCCACAAAATAAGCCAGATAACAATTTCATGTTCCTGCCTTTCTGACTGAACAATCAAGGTATCACTCTAAGACCAGAGACAAAAGAGAAGCTTCTACTTTCATTCTAAGGCTCCGTCTACATAGAGAGATTCTGAGCTTCCCCATGTAATATACATTTGTTTAACTAAGGGACTAGTTATTGCTCAACATTTCCATGTGGGAGAACTCTGGTTGAGGTCCTGATCCCATCCTCCTGTACAGTGGAGACAACAGCTGAGTGGGGAGGGCTGTTTTATTGTTTATTGGCAGTAATGACTTTGATCAATTAAGGAAAGGCGCTGATGGAATTTCAAAAGAATTTTGGTTGGAAGGTTGAATACAATAAAAATCTTTGCAGAAGTCAAAATGCATGCTAGAAGGTGAAGGATGATGCAGAGGAGTGGTCTGCTCAACTAATGGGCTGAAGAAACAGGAAAGGGCAAAATAAAGAAATGTATACTTAGAAGATGTGGTGTTTACAGTGAAATGAGATTCAACAGCATTCTACCTGTTGCTATACGACTTTCTAACTTTCATACTGCATTTCAATAAAGATCTGTTTTTGAAACTGTAAACACTTCCAAAAGGAATGTTTTGTAAAACAACAAAAATTTTAAATGAGGCATCCTTGAGACAAACAGTAGCCCAAATTTAGACATGTTGATGAGGAATGCGATGGGAATGGAGGGAACGAGGGGGGTGGTGTGTATAAGTAGAAGGGGAAGTCTAGTTAATACAACTGTAAAATAAAAAAATTCCCAACCTTTTTCTGCTATTGTCTCATGTCTTTTGAGATGAGCTATTTTATAAAATAGATGGATATATTTAATAAATATAATAAAATCAAGTAAAAGCTTCATTTCACTTTTCTAAATACCAAGATCCACACTGTAATAAGAAAAATACATGCCAGACAGCACATTTCTCTGGGATAGCTACACATATTAGGTGATTGAAGGCACAAGCCTTCTGGCCCCATACCTCACAATTTACTCAGGTTTCCAATAATCTCCAAGAAATCCACAACCTGTCATGTTTTATTGCTTAATTAGCTACTTGTCAAAAAGTCACACTATATACATTCATTTCTGGTTTTTTTCCACATACTCACTCACTTTTTATTGGGATAATGAGCTGAGGAATGACTGGAAGAATCTTGTTTCCCCCATGTTCCAGCATGTCATGGATTCCTTGCCGAGCGAAAAACTCATAGGGAAATGTCATTTCACAAAGCCCATCAAAAAACAGAGGCAGATAGTGATGATAGTCCAGTTTCTCAATCTCCACCTGAGAATGCACACAGAACAAACAAACAAACAGCATGAGGGTGACTGATATACTTTATGTAGGGTGACCAGATGTCCTGATTTTATTCAGACAGTCCCGATATTCAGGGCTTTGTCTTATATGGGCACCTAGTACTCCCCTTCCCCATCCCGATTTTTCACATTTTCTATCTGGTCACCCTAACTTCATGCCACATTCATAAGGAGTTTTAATAAGCAATAATAAAGTCAGTGTGTCACAGTAGGATATCGCCATCTCTCCCGTATGGTGTTTGGCATGATGCTGAAATTCTTAAGTCCTTAACCACTAGATCTAAAGTAGAGACCTAAGAAGAACCTGCTCCTGGACCTTTTTTGGTACTGGTGCCACTCAAAACAATCTTTTGTCAGTCTTTTCCAGACTCTCATAAAATGCATGTATCTAAAACCAGTATGTGAGTATTCTAGTAAAGTTAGGACCATATTCCATTATCTTTGCTCATGGTAAATAGGACTTTACAGTATGTATAGTTCCTCCGATTCCAGTGGCACTACTTATAGAAAAAAGTACTACTTATTTTGAGTAATAATGGCAAAATCTGGCCATAATATATTAACTTCAGATGCAAAATGGATCAAATAAAATCTGTCTGATCAATAAAAAATCATAATTTTACAGGAATGCAATATATGTACAGTTTACAGTTCCCTAGACTATTGCCCTCATTTTAATTTAGTAAATGATTAAGAGCAATAACACAGTTTAAGAGAAAGTTATTGAGGAATCCTACCCATTTCTGTTGTCCTTTGAATGCCTCTAAAGTTTGAGAGTATCCTGGTGGAGCAATAACCTTACCACCTGTGGTCTTTTTAGAAGGAGGTGGTATCCTCTAAAATAATCACACTTTCTGCCTTTTATTTCTGTCACCCCATCAGAGGCCTGGTGTTTCAGACTCTCTCTAGCCAAAGGGGACCAGGCTAGAGGCTACTTCCCCAGATCTGTTAATGCCATTCTGAGCATAGATAAGAAAGCTGCTTCATCACTGATGCACCTGCTCTCCCCAGAGATGGAGCATATTGCCTTCAAAGTGCTCCTAGGTCCTACTGGCTCATGAAACAACAGACTGAGCTTGGGGCTGTGTGTTATTTTTACATATTAAATGGTTGCCATTTCTCTGCTAACAGCTTCCAAAACGGATATCAGGAATGGAATTTCTATTTTGACAGAGTTTTTAAACTGGATATTTATCTACAGTTGTTTGCAGTGTTGTGGTACCCGTGTTGGTCCCAGGATATGAGAGATACAAGATAGGCGAGGCAGTATCTTTTATTGGACCAACATCTGTTGGTGGAAGGTACAAACCTGAGCTACACAGAGCTCAGACACGGATTCCCTTCTCCAGACCTGAAGAAGAGTGTCTGAGCGCTGTGTACTATGAAAGCTTGTACCTTCTACCATCAGAAGTTGATCCAAATAAAAGGACCACCTACCTTGTCTCTATCTACAGGACATACATCATAATCAACTCAGAAACAGAAAACATTTAAATTAAAAAATGATGGACGCTGGCTTTGTTTCTTAAGGACATCCATACTGCTACGGACAGTGCTTCTGAGTTGGCAAAAACAACATGCTCACCCAGTCCCTGATAACAGAAACCAATAGGAACAGCAAATACAGGCTCCAGGTGTGACATCCAACTCAACAACCAAACTAGCCACTACAGAAGGAACTATTGGGATATATGTTAAGAAGTGGTGGTGTGAGTAGAAAGCCTTCAAGGTTCAGAGATGGTAGGTATTGAGAGATGACCAACAAGAGGCAGAATAATCCTGACATCTGTCTAGTGGGCAAGGAATATCTACCTGACTTTCTTCCTAGACATCTTTAATTTTGTGTTTTCTGAACTGGATGTATTAGTTGGTCATTTGTAATACTGGTTATATTTTCATTGCATAATATTTTTTTAAACTGTACAATAGCCATTGCCATAAATAAAACATTTTGTAACCCTGATCCAGGTCATATAATTAAGGGAAGGACTAGCCTCTCAGGAGCACTCCTGTTCGTGTTACCTCTACACACTACAATTACATCAGAAGTATATTTCAGCCTTGAGCAGAGTATGATTTCTGGGTTTAATAAAATACAGCATATGACTTTTGACAAGGATTACAAAACCTCTTCAAAATCATGAACAACAGGAAATATAGATATATCTCTATCTCTCTATTTATCTATGAAGGAGAGATTAGTTGACTGAGATCTTCACTCCTAGTTGGCTCTCAACCTCTCAATGGCTTATCTTAGCACCACTTTGAAAAGAGCTCTGAATTCTGTCTGATTTCTTGATGCATTATCTGACCAAGTGTACAGCCAATATTTTTTGATTTTGCAGGCTTGAATGTCCTCCCACAATATGGATGCCAGAAATATTTTTGCATTAAATTCTGTGGTGTGAAACCTTTTGCTTTTGTGTTTATTGTTTGGCTTTGAAAAGTGGCTATTATATATATGTACTGAGAAAAAAGCAAATTTTTGGTTTATGCTCATAAAATCCTTTTTCTTTTTGCTTCCATCCACAAAAATATTCTGAGTTAAAGCTGCAATTCTTGGCTGAACATGCTCAAAAACTGCCAAGACCTTGTTTCAATTTTGGGTTTCATGAAGAGTCCTCAATAGTTGTTATAAACTTTTTATATACTGGTGGCACTGTATAAATTGTAAGATTAGGATAAAAATAGATTCCAGTGGCAACCTTACCTCTGAATATTCTAAGTTGAGGTCAGGTCTTTAATGGTATTTTAATATATTCCAATAAAGAGTGACCACAGTTTATAAACATCTGTATTAAAAACCTGCAAATGTTTCATGGAAGATAGATAATGCTTGGACTATTTTACAGATTTAAGTTTTAAAGGAAAAACTCCAAATGAGACAAAAACAATGTAACTAGTTAAAAAAGCAGCTCCTTGGCTCTTCTATCTATTAAATAAGGAAAGCAAGGCAGTTGGACAGAACTCAAGGGACAGAGGTTTGATAATGAAGACCTGAATTGATAAATAAATCATAGGACTTCTTCAATCCATCATACTTAAATTTTATACACTATAAAGCAACCCTGGTATTTAAAAGCTACTGTTTCAGACACACAAACAAGTAGGGCTTACATTCCCATATAGTTTCATAAAATCAATCTCAATTGATTACTTAATGTAATATGTTTTTAGATAACATTGCCCACAAGTTGGATCTGATTTCCTGGAGACATCATACTCAATGGTGTAGTAATTTTAGTTGCGAGTGGATGTGCTATATTTTATGTGCACTTCAATGAATGTCTTCATCCAAGCACTGCAAGAACTGGGATGCTGGTCTGAAACGGATATTTTTGTAAGGAAGGGAATAACACCTTTTAAACTCTATTGTTTATTCAGCAATTGCCAGAGTAGACAAAGTTCTAAATTCTACAAAAAACCCCACAACATTTAACAACCAGACTATGCAACGCATGATAAAAATGAACAAGCTTCAGCAGAAAAATCTAAAACTCCCTAAAATATCTACAAGTGCTCAGGGAGATGGCACGTATTCCACAAGTGCACAGGTTGGCCAAAAATAGAGATGAGGAGAAGGTGGGTTTATTATATTGCTGGTTCTAGGTCATTTGATCAGATGGATGTGTGTGTGTGCACCGCTATTAGTTAAACACTCTGAAAGGGATCTGTCAGGAAGCCTATAGTGCGAATCTGTGGAATCATACACTGTACCTGACTCTGGTCATACCTGTATGCCAGTGCCAACTATATCATCCAACCTATTACATCATTTATACCATAGTTATCACTTAGTCTATTTTTCTTTATATTCGTTTTGGTAAAATATAGGCAAGAAAAGTGTAATGATGCTCTTTTCTGCTATTCCCCCCCCCCACACTTTGATTGTACTTTCCCCTCCAGCTCCCTCAATGATTCCCCTAAATAGTAGTGATAGTGCTTGTGTGAGTATGTGAGAGAGAGAATACATGAGGCAAACAGGAGATGATGGTCACTGTCAATAAAGGCTTACAAAGAACATACTTTATGATAGATGGAGGATCTGAAAGATTTAGCACCTCTCATCTGTCAGCTCAGAGCTTGGAGGGAGATTCTGTAAGACCTTGCCATTTATCCAGTTACAAAACCTAAAACTAATCTCTTACACTATATATGCATTAAACCACTATCTAGGATGTTATCTGAGTTTATTAAAAAACTGCCATTTTAATTTGGTGAAAATCAGCATTTTTTTAAACAGTTAAAAGGAAGACTGACAAAATAATTAAGGGATTATGAATCTCTGCCACTGGTACAGCCTTATTAAGAATACCATTTTAAATAGTCTGTGGGGCTTCCAGAACTTTGGGTGTTTGGGGGTCACTGACCTGAAAATCCTTCTTTATGTTCATGCTCCCAATGCAGAATCCCCAAATTTTGCATATCAAAAAAGTGCATAACTGCTCTGTGTTACTCTGAAATATCCTCTGTTGTAATCTGCTCCTTCTGCCCAATTTTTAGTCTTGTGCAAAGCAAGGTTCACTATACTGAGAAGGACAGAGTATGTCAAGAGCTCTCCTATCTTTGGCTTGTTTCATTTTTTTGTTTTTAACATAGTTGAGGCAGGGCAGATAGTTGAAGATACAAAACGTCTGATCCAAATATAGCTTAATTACCCATAAGTACTTTGGGTAGTTGGCAAACTGTAAGAGATCTGCCAGATGCTTTAGCATTCTGCCTGTTCCTATTATCTAAGCTATACTTATTATTTATTAATTAAACCACTAGCTAGGATGTTATCTGAGTTTATTAAAAAAAATGCAGTGGAAATGCATTAGTGACGCTCCCACTTGCAGTTACATGCAGGCTCTCTAACCACCAACCTCGGACCCCAGAGCAATACCATTCTGACCTGGTCAAATATGGCTAGTATATGGGTTTAATATCTGGTCCACCTTTCCCTCAACGTGAAGACGACCGTGCATA